AGTCCCTGGTTTAGTCCCAGTTTTAGTCCAGTTTTAGTCCAGTTTTGGTCCAGTTTTGGTCCAGTTTAGTCCAGTTTTAGTCCTGGTTTAGTCCGAGTTTTAGTCCAGTTTTAGTCTAGTTTTAGTCCTGGTTGAGTCCTGACTTGGTGCTTGCTTTAGTCCAGTTTTAGTCCAGTTTTAGTAGTCCAGGTTTAGTCCAGTTTAGTCCAGGTTTTAGTCCAGGTTTAGTCCAGTTTTAGTCCAGTTTTAGTCCAGTTTTAGTCCAGGTTTAGTCCAGGTTTAGTCCAGGTTTAGTCCAGGTTTAGTCCAGTTTAGTTTTAGTCCAGTTTTAGTCCTGGTTTTAGTCTAGTTTTAGTCTAGTTTTAGTCCTGGTTGAGTCCTGACTTGGTGCTGCTTTAGTCCAGTTTTAGTCCAGTTTTAGTCCAGTTTTAGTCCAGTTTTAGTCCTTTGGTTTAGTCCGAGTTTTAGTCCAGTTTTAGTCTAGTTTTAGTCCTGGTTGAGTCCTGACTTGGTGCTGCTTTAGTCCAGTTTTAGTCCAGTTTTAGTCCAGTTTTAGTCCAGTTTTAGTCCAGGTTTAGTCCAGGTTTAGTCCAGTTTTAGTCCAGTTTTAGTCTTAGTTTTAGTCCTGGTTTAGTCTGAGTTTTAGTCCAGTTTTTAGTCTAGTTTTAATCCTGGTTGAGTCCTGACTTGGTGCTGCTTTAGTCCAGTTTTAGTCCAGGTTTAGTCCAGGTTTTAGTCCAGGTTTAGTCCAGGTTTAGTCCAGGTTTAGTCCAGTTTAGTCCAGTTTTTTAGTCTAGTTTTAGTCCTGGTTTAGTCTGAGTTTTAGTCCAGTTTTAGTCTAGTTTTAGTCCTGGTTGAGTCCTGACTTGGGGCTGCTTTAGTCCAGTTTTAGTCCAGTTTTAGTCCAGGTTTAGTCCAGGTTTAGTCCAGTTTTAGTCCAGTGTTAGTCCAGGTTTAGTCCAGGTTTAGTCCAGGTTTAGTCCTTAGTAAAATATATAAAATGATTATTTCTATTTCCATACATTAAATCTCTCATTCACTCCCATTAAACTTCTACTCTGGAGCTTATAGTCCAAAAAACACGATATTATTGATACAAAAAACGTTTTGTTCGAATTACAACTCAGTCCGTGGCTCCATCGTCTAATTTATTCATCAAACTGAACATTCTTAATATTTCCGCTGTTAATATTTATCAGATTTCTTTATAATACGACTACGATCCCTGAACATTTCACATTTGACTTTAAACCCAGTGCAGATTCATCGATAAAATACTTGTCAAAACTCTAATTTTCTTGTTCCAAAACGTGTCACATGAAGAGTTTCTTCGATCCAGAGGCCGTAAACGTTGGAGCCAGTTTTCACATCTGGTCAGAGAAGCAGATCAGAAATATCGTTTAAAAAGAGTTTGAGGAAATGTTTGAAAATCATTCGGTTGTAAATCTCTCGTTGTGTTTGAATCGAACGTGTGTAAATGTAATTTTAAAAAGTTATGTGCAGCTAAAATCTTCAGTTTTAACGTTTTAATATAAGGACTTTTTGGATTTTCGCCTTTTTTACGTAGTGGTTTTTTATTGTTATATGTTAAATAGAACATAAATAAATGTCCAATGTTTTTTTTTTTTTTTAAAATAAAGAATAAATCAGCCTCACATTTGTTATCAGTAAAATTTGTGTCTGATTTGAAGATCTGGTCTGATCTGGGGACACGGTTTGGTCAAGTTTATGGAATTTTAAATAAAAATCTTACGTACAGTTCCTTTATAATTATCCATTGTTGTAATGCAGTTTAATTATACTCTTGATTTAGTACTGGTTTAGTCCTGGTTTGGTGCTGGTTTAGTTTTGGTTTAGTCCTGGTTTCAGTCCTGCTTCAGTCTTTTGCTTCAGTCAATTTTAGGTCCAAATTTTGATCCTGGTTTGGTCCTAATTTCGTCGTACTTTGGTCCTGCTCTGGTCCTGCTTTGGTCCTGGTTTTGGTGATGGTTTAGTTTTGGTTTAGTCCTTGTTTCAGTACTGCTTCAGCCCCCCCAGGTTTTGGGATGACACTGTGCTGCTTCAGCCCCAGTTTTGGCCCAGTTTTGGTCCAGTTTTAGTCCAGTTTTGGCCCAGTTTTAGCCCAGTTTTGGCCCAGTTTTGGCACAGGATTAGTCAAGTTTTGGCCCAGTTTTGCCTCAGTTTTGGCCCAGTTTTGGTTCAGTTTTGGTCCAGTTTTATACCAGTTTTATACCAGTTTTCCAGTTTTGGCCCAGTTTTGGCCCAGTTTTGGCCCAGTTTTGGTCCAGTTTTGGACCAGTTTTGTCCAGTTTTGGCCCAGTTTTGGTCCAGTTTTGGCCCAGTTTTGGTCCAGTTTTGGCCCAGTTTTAGTCCTGGTTTCCATACATTTCTCTCAAACTTAAATCTCTCATTCACTCCCATTAAACTGTTTATTTTTCCTGACAGATCCTCCTCTTCCTTGGGCCCTTGCCTCCTCTCTCCTCTCCTCCTCTTCCTCCTCTCCTCCTCTTCCTCCTCTCCTCCTCTTCCTCCTCTCCTCCTCTCCTCCTCTCCTCCTCCTCTCCTCTCCTCCTCCTCCCTCTCTCCTCCTCCTCCTCTCCTCCTCTTCCTCGTCTCTCCTTTCCTCTTCTCTCCTCTCTCTCCTCTCCTCCTCTCCTCCTCTTCCTCCTCTCTCCTCTCCTCCTCTCTCCTCCTCTCTCCTCTCCTCCTCTTCCTCCTCTTTCCTCTTCCTCTCCTCCTCTCCTCTCTCCTCCTCTCTCCCTCCTCTTCTCCTCTCCTCCTCTCTCCTCTTCCTCCTCCTCCTCTCCTCCTCTCTCCTCCTCCTCTCCTCCTCTCCTCTCCTCCTCCTCCTCCTCTCTCCTCCTCTCCTCCTCTCCTCCTCTCCTCCTCCTCTCTCCTCCCTCGGGCTCTTGCCTCGTCTCTCTTCACTGTTGCATCACAGACGCAGGTGTGAGAAACAAAATGGCCGACCATTGTTTGGCCAAATTATGGTCAGGTTTTATTCTCGTCACAGAGTCGACAGAGACTCACCTGCTCCGAGTCAAACTGTGATTTAGAGAATCTGGGTTTACGAATATTTATTTCTGTAGATTTTTTTATTTATATATCTGTAATTTGGTATTGAAAAAATAAAATCTTCCATATTTTAGATTCATTTTAAAGATGAATTATGTAACTTTTCTGCTCTAAATTAAGGCAAGTTTAGTTCAGGGTTTTACTCCCAGAGTTTGAGTCCAGGTTTGAGTCCAGGTTTAAGATCCAGGGTTTAAATCCAGGTTTGAGTCTAGGTTTGAGTCCAGGGTTTAGTTCAGGTTTAGGTCCTGAGTTTTAGGTCTAGGGATTTTAGGTCCAGGGTTTTAGTCCAGGGTTTAGTCCCAGGTTTTAGTCCAGGTTTTAGGTCCAGGGTTTTAGGTCCAGGGTTTTAAATCCAGGGTTTAGGTCCAGTTTCTTCTAGGTTAAATCTGTATTTGTTTAGTCCAGGTTTAATCTGGGTATAGTCCAGGTTTAGTCCCAAATTTAGTCCTAAACAAGGATTTTAGTCTTGGGTCAGATCTGTATTAACCTAAAACTGTAATCTGTATAAATCCAGGTTAAATTCAAATGAAAATATGGTTTGGTTTAAGATTTTAGTCCTGGTTTAGTCCCCGTTTAGTCCCCGTTTAGTCCTGGTCAAGTGCTTGTTATAAGAAACATTTTTGTTTCTTTGATTTCGTTTGTTATTTTATTTTATTTCATGTTTAGAGTCCAGACGTTTCACACTCAGACCCTCTGAGAGCTGCAGCTGCTTTAGAGAACATCGCCCCCTGGTGGGAGGGCAGTGCACTCACACTTTTACTCACACGGACAAAACTCAGGGTATTTTAGTCCAGTTCGCTCTGGTTTCAGTCCAGTTTCAGTCCTGGTTTAGTCCTCTGTTTATTCTTGCTTTAGTACTGGGTCAATCCTAGTTCAGTCTTGGTTTGGTCCAGTTTTAGTCCTAGTTTTAGTCCTGGTTTAGTCCATCTTTAGTCCTGTTACAGTCAAAGTTTAAATCCTGGTTTATCCTGGTTCAGTTCAGTTTTAGTCCAGTTTTAGTGTTGGTTCAGTACATGTTTAGGTCCTTGATTAGTCCCTTGATCGGCCCTTGTTTAGTCCAGGTTTAGTCCAGGCTTAGTGCGTGTTTAGTCCTGGTTGGTTTTAGTCCAGTTTTAGACCAGTTTTAGACCAGTTTTAGACCAGTTTTAGACCAGTTTTAGACCAGTTTTTGTCAAATTTTAGTCCAGTTTTAGACCAGTTTCAGTCCAATTTCAGTCCACTTTTAGGCCACTTTTAGACCACTTTTAGACCACTTTTAGTCCAGTTTTAGACCAGTTTTTGTCAAATTTTTGTTCAGTTTTAGACCAGTTTCAGTCCAATTTCAGTCCACTTTTAGTCCTTTTTTAGGCCACTTTTAGGCCAGTTTTAGACCAGATTTAGACCAGTTTTTGTCAAATTTTAGTCCACTTTTAAACCACTTTTAGTCCAGTTTTAGACCACTTTTAGACCAGTTTTAGACCAGTTTTTGTCAAATTTTAGTTCAGTTTTAGACCAGTTTCAGTCCAATTTCAGTCCACTTTTAGTCCTTTTTTAGGCCACTTTTAGGCCAGTTTTAGACCAGATTTAGACCAGTTTTTGTCAAATTTTAGTCCACTTTTAGTCCACTTTTAAACCACTTTTAGTCCAGTTTTAGTCCAGTTTTAGACCACTTTTAGACCAGTTTTTGTCAAATTTTAGTTCAGTTTTAGACCAGTTTCAGTCCAATTTCAGTCCACTTTTAGTCCTTTTTTAGGCCACTTTTAGACCAGTTTTAGACCCTTGATTAGTCCAGTTCTAGTCCTGATTTTGTCCATTTTTAATCCTGCTTTAGTTTTGGTTCAGCCCCAGATTAGTCAGTTGATCGGTTTTAGTCCTGGTCTCGTCCTGGTCCAGTCCTGGTCCAGTCCTGGTCCAGTCCTGGTCCAGTCCTGGTCTAGTCCACTTACCCCGCTAACATCTCAAACACCAGGATCCCGAGGGCCCACCAGTCCACAGCTCTGCCGTGGCCTTTGCTCTGGATCACCTCTGGAGCCAAATACTCGGGAGTCCCACACAGAGTCCACGTCCTGAAGAAAAGAAACAAGAGAAAACAAAAAATATACGTCAACAAAACTCTGAAAATAAAAACAAAACTCTGAAAATAAAAATAAAACCAAAACTAAAAACCAAAAAAGTCAAATCCCTGATCATTTCTACAAGTGAAAAAATCCATTTGACCTGCTCACATCTCAGTTAAAGCAGCACTGCGTAACTTTTCTAGTGGATGGGGACGTCACATTCTCCACCGTCTCCATGGCGACGTTCATGCCGAGTCTGGAATATCCCGCAGTATTGCATTAAAAGCATCTATTCAAGCCTGTTTCGTCAGCAACGTAAAAAGGTTTAATCAATCGAACAGACGGAAGATAAATAAGTTTAATGCCGTATTGTGGAATATTTCATGCGGAGAAATGAAATCTCCATGGAAACAAGAAGGTGTTGGATCCTGTTATTAAAAAAGTTTCCTAGAGCAACTTTAAAAAAAAAACTGCAAGAATGAAGGGAGGGCATCTGGCACAGGATATAGGAGTATGAGTCCAGGGTTCAAGGTCCAGGGTTTTAAGTCCAGGGTTTTAGGTCCAGAGATTTGGGTCCAGGGTTTTAGTCCAGTTTTAGCCCTGGTTTATTCTAGATTAAGTCCGCAAACAGTTAGTCGTGGTTTATTCCAGGTTAAATCCTGGTTTAGTCCAGGTTTAATACAGGTTTAGTACTTGCTTTTAGTTCGGGTTTTAGTTCAGGTTTTAGTTCAGGTTTTAGTTCAGGTTTTAGGTACAGAGATTTAGTCCAGGTTTAGCCAGGGTTTCTTCTAGGTTATGTCTGTATATGGTGTCATGGCTTATTCCAGGTTAAATCCTGGTTTAGTCCAGGTTTTAGTCCAAGATTTAAGTTCAAGGTTTAGTCTCTGGTTTAGTCCTGGTTTAGTCCAAGATTTAAGTTCAGGGTTTAGTCTCTGGTTTAGTCCTGGTTTCTTCTAGGTTAAGTCTGTATAGGGTTAGTCATGGTTTATTCTGGGCTAAATCCTGGTTTAGTCCAGGTTTAGTCCCTGGTTTAGTCCCAGATAAGAATTCTAATCTTGTGTCAGACTGGTTTAGTGCTGGTCAAGTGCTGGTTAAGTGAAACATTTTTGTGAACTTTGATTTTGTAGGTTATTTTATTTTTGGACCACCCTGGACCGCACTGGACCACCCTGACCGCACTGGACCACCCTGGACCGCACTGGACCACCCTGGACCACACTGGACCACCCTGGACCACCCTGGACCACACTGGACCACCCTGGACCACCCTGGACCACCCTGGACCACCCTGGACCACCCTGGACCGCACTGGACCACACTGGACCACACTGGACCACACTGAACCACCCAGGACCGCACTGGACCACCCTGGACCACACTGGACCACACTGAACCACCCTGGACCACCCTGGACCGCACTAGACCACCCTGGACTACCCTGGACCACACTGAACCACCCTGGACCACAATGAACCACCCTGGACCACACTGAACCACCCTGGACCACCCTGGACCGCACTAGACCACCCTGGACTACCCTGGACCACACTGAACCACCCTGGACCGCACTGGACCACCCTGGACCACCCTGGACCACCCTGGACCACCCTGGACCGCACTAGACCACCCTGGACTACCCTGGACCACACTGAACCACCCTGGACCGCACTGGACCACCCTGGACCGCACTGGACCACACAGACAAGAATTCTAATAGGTCAGATCTGTACTAATGATCTAAAACTGTAATCTGTAAAAGTCCCGGTTAAATCCAAGTTAAATTTGTCACGGGAGGGCATCTGACACACACAGGGGTACGGGGGGCACGGGAGGGCATCTGACACACACAGGGGCACGGGGGGGGGGGGGGGGGGCAGCGTTGCCGTGGAAACAGAGTGAAGGAGGTCATCAGCGTGGCTCAGAGGGAGGTGATGTAACGCTCGAGGAGCAGATTTCATCAAAGTGAAGTGTCAGGTGCAGAGACATTTGCAGAAAAACTGGAAAAAATCCACGTGGCACAGCAGGTTCAGTCTGACGCCCGACAACCACAAGGTCTCGGGTTCAACTCCCAGACTCTTCAAGACTTTTCACTACATCATCATCTGCATTTGACCCATCGCGGTTATAGGTTTAGTCCTGGTTTAGTCCTAGTTTATTTCTACTTTAGTTCTGGTTCTGGTTAAGTCCTGGTTTAAAGTCCTGGTTTAGTTTTCATTTAGTCCTGGTTTAGTCCTACTTTAGTCCTGGTTTAGCCCTGGTTTAGTCCTGGTTTAGTCCTACTTTAGTCCTGGTTTAGTCCTACTTTAGTCCTGGTTTAGTCCTGGTTTAGTTTTCATTTAGTCCTGGTTTAGTCCTACTTTAGTCCTGGTTTAGTCCTGGTTTAGTCCTACTTTAGTCCTGGTTTAGTCCTGGTTTAGTCCTGGTTTTAGTCCTTTTAGTCCTGGTTTAGTCCTACTTTTAGTCCTGGTTTAGTCCTGGTTTAGTCCTGGTTTAGTCCTACCTTTTAGTCCTGGTTTAGTCCTACTTTAGTCCTGGTTTAGTCCTGGTTTAGTCCTACTTTAGTCCTGGTTTAGTTTCTTAGTCCTGGTTTAGTCCTGGTTAGTCCTGGTTTAGTCCTACTTTAGTCCTGGTTTAGTCCTGTTTAGTCCTGGTTTAGTCCTACTTTTAGTCCTGGTTTAGTCCTGGTTTAGTCCTGGTTTAGTCCTGGTTTAGTCCTACTTTAGTCCTGGTTTAGTCCTGGTTTAGTCCTACTTTAGTCCTGGTTTAGTCCTACTTTAGCCCTGGTTTAGTCCTACTTTAGTCCTGGTTTAGTCCTACTTTAGTCCTGGTTTAGTCCTGGTTTAGTCCTGGTTTAGTCCTGGTTTAGTCCTGGTTTAGTCCTGGTCTGAGCTTGTTCGGTGAAACATTTTTGTTTCTTCGTTTTCGTTTGTTATTTTCTTTTCTTTCATGTTTTTGTGTCACATTAGAGTCCAGACGTTTCACACTCAGACCCTGTGAGCTGCAGCTGCTGTAGAGAACGACGCCCCCTGGTGGGAGGGCAGCGGGACAGACTCATTAACAAGCTGCCGATATAATAAACTCAGCTCTGGAAATGCAAATCTAAAGCTAAAAAAAGAAGGTGGGACAGAGTATTTTGAGCTTTGGAGATTCGGGTCTAGTCTCGGGTCTGGCCTCGGGTCTAGTCTCGGGTCTAGTCTCGGGTCTAGTCTCGGGTCTAGTCTCGGGTCTAGTCTCGGGTCTAGTCTCGGGTCTAGTCTCGGGTCTGGCCTCGAGTCTAGCCTCGGGGGTCTAGCCTCGGGTCTAGCTCTCGGGTCTAGTCTCGGGTCTAGTCTCTAGGGTCTAGTCTCGGGTCTAGGTCTCGGGTCTGGTCTCGGGTCTAGTCTCGGGTCTAGTCTCGGGTTCGGGTCTGTCTCGGGTCTCAGTCTCCGTCTAGTCGGGTCTGTCCTCGGGTCTAGTCTCTCGGGTCTAGTCTCGTCTAGTCTCGGGTCTAGTCTCGGTCTAGTCTAGTCTCGGGTCTCAGTCTCGGTCTGGGTCTCTCGGTCTAGTCTCTCGGTCTCGTCTAGTCCTCGGGTCTAGTCGGGTCTCGGGTCTAGGGTCTCGGGTAGTCTAGTCTAGGGGTCTAGTCTCGGGTCTGGGTCTAGTCTCTCGGGTCTAGTCTCGGGTCTGGTCTAGTCTCTAGTCTCGGTCTAGTCTCGGTCTAGTCTAGTCTCGGGTCTCCGGGTCTCTCGGGTCTAGTCTCGGGTCTAGTCTCGGGTCAGTCTAGTCTCGGGTCTAGTCTCGGGTCTCTCTGTCTCGGTCTAGTCTCGGGTCTCTCGGTCTGGTCTCGGGTCTAGTCTCCTAGTCTAGTCTCGGGTCTGTCTCGGTCTAGTCTCGGGTCTAGTCTCGGGTCTAGTCTCGGTCTAGTCTCGGTCTGGTCTCGGGTCTAGTCTCGGTCTCTCGGTCTGGGTCCTCGGGTCTAGTCTCGGTCTAGTCTCCGGGTCTAGTCTCGGGTCTAGTCTCGGGTCTCGGTCTAGTCGGGTCTTGGTCTCGTCTGTCAGTCTCGGTCTAGTCTCGGGGTCTAGTCTCGGTCTGTCTAGTCTCGGGTCTCGGGTCTGGTCTCGGTCTGTCTCGGGTCTAGTCTCGGTCTGTCTAGTCTCGGTCTAGTCTCGGGTCTAGTCTCGGGTCTGGGTCTCGGTCTGGGTCTGGTCTGGTCTCGGTCTAGTCTCGGGTCTAGTCTCGGGTCTGGTCTCGGGTCTCTCGGTCTAGTCTCGGGTCTAGGTCTCGGGTCTAGTCTCCGGTCTGGCCTCGGGTCTAGTCTCGGGTCTAGTCTCGGGTCTAGTCTCGGTCTGGTCTCTCGGGTCTAGTCTCGGGTCTAGGTCTCTCGGTCTAGTCTCGGTCTGTCTCGGGTCTAGTCTCGGGTCTCTCGGGTCTAGTCTCGGGTCTAGTCTCGGGGTCTAGTCTCGGGTCTCTCCGGTCTGGCCTTCGGGTCTAGTCTCAGGTCTCGGTCTAGTCTCCGGTCTAGTCTCGGGTCTAGTCTCCGGTCTAGTCTCGGGTCTAGTCTCGGTCTGTCTCCGGTCTGGTCTCGGGTCTAGTCTCGGGTCTAGTCTCGGGTCTAGTCTCGGGTCAGTCTCGGGGGTCTAGTCTCGGGTCTAGTCGGTCTCGGTCTCTCGTCTCGGGTCTAGTCTCTCGGGTCTAGTCTCGGGTCTAGTCTCGGGTCTGGGGTCTAGTCTCGGGTCTAGTCTCGGTCTAGTCTCGGGTCTAGTCTCGGGTCTAGGGTCTAGTCTCGGTCTAGTCTAGTCTCGGGTCTAGTCTCGGGTCTGGTCTCGGGTCTAGTCTCGGGTCTAGTCTCAGTCTAGTCTCGGGTCTAGTCTCAGGTCTAGTCTCGAGTATTTTGAGCTTTGGAGATGTAAACAGACTAATAATAAAGATTTACTCAAACATGAATGAAACAAAACACAAGTCCAGGTTTGTTTTTGATGAGAAAACAACATTAAAACACGATTTAAACCTCACAAGAGTCAGTCTGTGTG